AAAAAAAAAAATTAAAAAAAAAAGAAATAGGGCTCAGAGTGTTTTTTATTTTTTATTTTTTTTAACGTTTATTTATTTTTGAGACAGAGAGAGACAGAGCATGAATGGGGGAGGGTCAGAGAGAGAGGGAGGCACAGAATCCGAAACAGGCTCCAGGCTCTGAGCGGTCAGCACAGAGCCCGACGCGGGGCTCAAACTCACGGACCACGAGATCATGACCTGAGCTGAAGTCGGAGGCTTAACCGACTGAGCCACCCAGGCGCCCCAGAGTGAGTGTTTTTTAAAGTCCCATCTGGCAGGGAAGCCCAACAAATTTGACACATTAATTGCCTGCTCCAGGGTCCGTGCTGGCTCCTGTCAACACAAATTCAAACTCCTCAGATTGGCATGGAGATTTTTCATTTTTTCTTAATAAAAAAAATTTTTTAATGTTTATTTTTGAGAGAGTGTGGGTGGGGGAGGGGACAGGGAGAGAGGTAGACAGAGAACCCAAAGCTGGCTCCTCGCTGTCAGCACAAAGCCCGATGTGGGGCTCGAACCCACTCACCATAAGATCATGACCTGAGCTGGAATTGGACACTTAACTGACAGAGCCACCCAGGCACCCTGGGAAATTTTTCTTTCAGCAGATCCCATCACCTCTCCCACCTAACCTACCTCCCTCATTGGTCACATATGATGGGCTCCAAGGTTTAACCATGCACCTCCACATCAGGCTTCCCTTGAGGGAAACCTAATCCTATATCCCCTTCAAGCCTTAGCTTAAAGTGTATCCCCTCTGAGAGACTTTAAGAGAGTGTATAAGATATGATCAATAGAGAGTAATTTAATCCACAGAAGGTGCTCCAGAAACAGGAAAAGCACAAGCCCATATATGGGGTAGGAATATGTCTGTTCTGTTTGAGGACACAGACAAGAACAATTGTCCTGAGAGGGCTAATCAGGCAACGTGGGATCAGACTTGAGGAGGGCTTAGAATGTTAGGCTATTATTCCATTTACGCCAGATGATGACTCTCCAAAGTACAGCACTTTCCAACTTGTAAAGGAGTTTCAAATACTTGTTTTCACTTAATGCTTACAATGATCCTATGAGGTTGGTATTATCATCATCATCCCCATTTTAGATACAAAGAAATTGGAGTTCAGAATTTAGATAAAGGCTGAGTACAGCTACCAAGAGGGAGAACCCACACTCAAATCTAAAGTTTTAGTTTTCAAATGCTATCATTTTAAATGAGTTCATTTCTCCAGGCTAAGATATAATTTATTTCTGTGAGTACTGTAAGTTCTCAAAGATATAACTGCAGACCCATTGTTGGTATCCTGGGAAATAAGCAAACGGGGAAGGTGTCACAAATCTGCAGGCATCCAAATGATTTCCCAATTAGAAACAGGCAAAAAAAAGGTATAAACTCTCCAGACTAATCAATGGAAACAACTCGAAGAAGAAGATTAGGCAACAGAGAGTTGACGAGCACACAGTACAGAAAGATGCAATTAATTGCTAGGAGCCAGAATGAGTTCTCCTACAAGCACCATGAACAACTAACTCACTTTCGTTTTTTAGGCCATTAGGCTTGATCAGCCAGGAGGAAGGCTGAAGACACCATGCGACGTGATTTTGGCAGCCTCCGAAAGGTCTCATGATATCCTTGGGTCTTTGTGGGGGATCTGTTGAAGAGCCTTGCCACCCAGAGTGAGGTCATCAATGGACCAGCATCCACTGAGAAGTTTGTTAGAAACACAGAATCTTGGGTCCCACCCCAGACCTACTGAAACTGCATTTTAATGATAGAGCCAGGCAATTCCCGTACATATTAAAATCTGAGGAGCAATGGGCTAAATTGTAGGATAATTCGGTGGGTTTGTGACCACCAGAACAGTCATAAAGTGAACACTAATGAGACGCTTGGTGTCAATCTCTAGGAAAGTCTCAAGATGTCCTTTCCTGTTCAGTATTTTTTACATTTAGAACATAGGAGCTAAGAGTACTCACTGACTTTGGAGTCAGACAGACCTAGGACTGAATTTTAGTTCCTCCATTAATTAGTTGTATAGCCTTGAGCAAGTTCCTTAATCTCTCCAAAATGAGGATGATAATATCTATACCTTTCAAGGATGTGGTGAGGAGTAAATGAGAATGTTGTGAGAAGTTAATACAGCACATACCCCCACATATAGCAGATATATGATCTGTTCCATTAAGCACACAGCTCATCATAAATTACCTTGTACCGTGCTAGCTACGTATGTGTATTAGTTGTCCATTTGTATGTCTGTGTATTTAAGTCCATTACAACTTCCTGAAGGCAGGATCATATCTCCTTTTTCTGTTGTATCATCCAAAGGGCTTATCACTCTCTTGCCCAAAAAATAATGAACACAAGCAAAGCAGTGTCTGGTGTTTAAACAGGATGCCGAAGTGTGAGCTTACCCTGAATGGCTGGACCCCAAGCAAACAGATAATACCAACTCAAATGCAGATCGACAATTGTTTCATCTCTGGGAACGTTCACAGGGCGTTTAAATCTGCAGGTGACCCGATTGTTTTCAAAGACTCCTTCTTCATCTCTGGCAGGGTTTCTCTGAATCTCTTTTGCCCACTGGCCTACATTATAGAAGTGCTGTATGCGGACCCTGCCATTGTCATCATGGACACAGGCCATGACGTCATCACCACCCTAACATGAAAAACAATGGGGGAAGAAGTCAAAGGTGTGTCTTTCACAAACTTTTCTGCTAGAAGGAAATTTCACTCAGATATATCCATTTCATTACCTCTATAATTTGAAATCCCGCCCAAAGAAACCTATTTTTTTTATTAAAAAAGCTTTAACCAAGTGAGTGAAGTTAGCATTACAATAACTGACATCAAATGCCTCCTTATGTGATGTTCAAAGAATACATCTCCAGCTATTTAGTATTCCTGCTGACAACACAAAAGTAACCTAATCATGAGGAAACAATCAAACAAATCCAAACTGAGACTTCTACAAAAAATGATTACAAAAACTATTACAAAAATACTTATAATCTTCACAAGGACCGATGTCATGAAAGACCAAAAAAAGAAAAAAAAGGCTACGAATTGATTTCAAAATAAAGAAATGCATGACAACTAATAGTGTTCATAGACAGAATCCTAAGTCATAAAATAAAACTTTCTATAAAGGATAGTATTGCGACAATGGACAACACTGGAAAATGGGCTGTATATTTGATAATACTATCATATTAGTGTTTAACTTCCTGAATTTAATAAATAGATTTAATCTCCAAAGTTTACAGAAAATAATAAAAATAATAGCAAGTACCAGCAGCAACAGCAGGGCAGTGAGATAAAGCACGTGTGGAAAAGTGACATCATTTGTAAAAAAAAAAAAAAAAAAAAGAAAGAAAAAAGTTTTGGAAGTAGACAGTGGTGATGGGTGATGGTTGTATACTGTGAATATAATTGATGCCACTGAAGTGTACATTTTACAATGTCTAAAAATGGCAGACTTTATGTTATGTACATTTCACCACAATAAAAAAGTTATTGGGTGAATCTGGGTGAAGCAAATGTGTTGCACTATCCTTACAGATTGTCTGTACATTTAAAGTTTTAAAAAACAGGGCCAAAAAATGTGGCTCAGTCAGTAGAGCATGAGACTATTGATCTCAGTGTTGTGAGTTTGAGCCCCATATAGGATGTAGAAATTACTTAAAAATAAAATCTTTAGCGGCACCTGGGTGGCTCAGTTGGTTGAGCGTCTGACTCTTAATTTTGGCTCAGGTCGTGATCCCAGGGTTGTGGGACTGAGCCCCATGTTGGTCTCTGCGTTGACCATGCAGCCTGCTTAGGATTCTCTCTTTCTCTTGTTCTGTCCCTCCCCCGTTCTCTCCCTCTCTCCCTCTCTTAAACAAACATTAAAACACACACACACACACGCACACACGCACACACCAAATCTGAGCACTTCTCACCACTCCCACTGCTCTAACCCTGTCTGAGCTGGCCTTCTCTCATTGCAGGAGCCTCACAACAGGTCAGGTGAAGAGAGTAAGGCGGCTCCTATTGATAGAACAGCAGCATGTGCAGAGGTACAGAGGCCCAAGAAAGTCTGGCTGTTGGAAAGCACCCTGGCACAGTGAAATGGCAAATGATAGTGCTACAGAGGAAGGAGGGGAAAAACACAGCAGAGGCACAGAGAGAAGCACAGGTAAGAGACAGACAGCTGCCTGGGATCCTGATGCCCTGCCTGTTCCTGGTCCTGGCTTCTGGTCTTTCTCAGGTCCAGATGTGTTCTTGCCCATGTGTACTATGGAGGAATGAATTGTTAGACTCAATTATTCAATCCCCAGTACTAGTATTACATACCCACACTTTCAAGGGGCCTCTTGGTAAGAGAAGTGAACTCCCCTGTCCCTTCATTCTGGGCTTCACAGTGTGACTTACTCTGGGCATTGAAATGTTAGCAGATGTGATGTAAGCAGAGGTTGGAAATAAGTTTGGATGGATCATGCCTTTCTGCCTCTGCCAAGAAAACAACATGCCTTGGTAGCTGCTGGTTCCAGAATGATTAGAGAAAACCTGAATCCAACCCATGGACAGGAGCCAAGCCCAGCTGAGCCCTAGCCAAATCACACACATGTGAACGAGAAATAATGCTTATAAACGGTGTAGTTTTGGAGACGCTTCTTGCAATATTATTGCCGTAACAACTAATAAATGCGGGTACCACAAGATACCCTGTATTCTCATAACCAACCCTTTCTTTTGTTTGAGCCAGCTTGAAATTTTTTTTAACTTTCAATCAGAGAGCCATAACTAATACAGTCATTATTATGCTTTGATCGATTTATTTGCTTTGCTTTGAAAAAGGAAATCAAATGCTAGAAATTCACTTCTCACATTTAACAGTGGCATGGGAACCTAGAGAAACAAAACCATGCCCATTCTCTAAAATCTAAAGTAGCACAGCAAACTGAAGGAAAAAAAAAAATCACCTTTTATCATGATTTGCGTCTTACCATTTTCTTGTCTGAAGAGAATCCAACTGCTACCCAACCATCTGTGTCAGCGCTCAGTTCAAATTCCACATCAGCCCCTATCATCCGGTAGCTAAGGAAGTAGTCACAAGTCTCTGCATTACAGCCCGGTTTGCCATATCTATAGGACATATCAAAACATATCACTACTTCTTCAGCTACTTATTCATAAATACATTAAGAAGTCATCAATGTATCGGGCACACCTCAGCAAGATTAGCAGATAAATTAGATCTTTGCTACCAGGGATCTCAAAACCAGTTTCACTCAGGAGAGAACACAGAGAGGATCTAACTGCTCCTTTTTATCCACATACATCTTGAGGGACCAGAGATGGGAAGGGGCTTCCACAGTGAGTCAGTAGGGCCTCCACTCCCAGCCAGTATTCTCGACATTATATTAGAGCTTCTCAGAGACTAGTTATTACTGAATTATTTCTGAATCCCTTTCAGAGGAAAAAAAAATCTGAGTTAATAAACTGTCTTTGTTAATTAAATGTATACCAGTTCTTCTTTACTTACAAATTCTCATACAACTAAACTAACAAAAATTTACAAATGAAATATAAGTTAAACTACAGAACCAGAAACATTCAAATTCCCAGCATCCGTGTGATAGATAATGCAGTGTTACTGAAGGTGGATTTTGCTTACCTGCATAGGGGTATATTTGACTATACTGTGCAGGGTCTCTTGGTTGAACACGCTCTTACCACTACCACTAAACACAATTCCACTAAACACAATTCCACATTCCTCCACTTTTATCTGTTTGAACTGCTGCAAAACCCTTATACGTACAATACACCAAATGGATACCTCATCTGGTATTCACTGAGCACAAATGCATCAATATTTATAAAATCTGCGCTCTGTCAGGCTACCTGATGCTAACACAATTACAAATTTAGACACCAGAGTATAGGGCAGTATAAACTGGTTATCCAGATAGTCAGATTATGCAGACATTAATCTTTTTAAGGAGCACTATTGAAATGGAAACGCAAATTTAAACTTTCTTACAGAAGACATGTGGACCCTTTAAGAATCTGAAAGCCCTAGTTGAGGAACATCATTTTTACACCATTTTCACAATAGCAGAAAACTAGCAACGGGTGAGACCACAGAAGCTCAGGTGGGAGGCATGTGAAGAAACAGGGCACAAGACTGTCAAGTGCTGACTGAGGAGGCAGGGAACACACCACAAGGCTGGCAGGTACCCTGAGTAGGTGGGAAGAGATGTAAGTTTCAAGACAACATGGAATGGGCTGAAAATGCTGAACGGGGGTAAGGAAAGCTAAAGGAGAAATGAATGTGCCAGAAAACAAGTCACCCTGAAGCCAGCAGGTACTGAAATTCCTTCCCTCCTCAAAAATGTCACCCATCACTAGGCTTAATATTGCTGGCCATGTTCCTCAATAATAGTATTATTTGGATTCTTAAAAATTCCTTAGAAATACCTTTGTATTTCAAAGAAAACTCAAAACCCCTTTATTCAATTTTTTCTCCTTGGGCACTGAAGAAAAGAAAACAAAAAAAAAATTCAGAACTTCCAGTGCAGTGGCCATCACAACCTTTACTCAAGGACAATTTATCCTAGGAAATAACAAATTCAAAGAGGAGGCTTTTCCAACAACGTGGAGCTGTCTGGATGGGAGGTTCACTGTCTGTATTGGTGTTTGCCAGCTCCCATCACGTCTTGATAGAACACTACTAATAATCACAGAGGGACTCACTAAACCTAAGATAACCAGCTATAATAATCAGTGTTTAATGACTCTTTAGTATCATCCAGATATTCCTAAGTCATGAGTCTTTACTTGAAAAGGAATTGGAGGTCTTAGATGTCTATCATTGTCTGTCCCGCTCACAGCCTAATAAAACATAGCCTGTGCCATGATTCTTTTTCATATAGCCAGCTGGTTAGGAGTCGATACCTGGGCCAATGGCAGTATGGTCATAAGTGAAAAGCCAGGTCAGAGCGTTCCAGTGCCAAGTAGCATTCTAGAGTTTACGGCGTCTAAGACCGAAAACTGGGGTGCCCACCAGAAACAGGCCACATCCCTGCTGAAGCTGTGAGGGGGTGCAGGCCCTGATTAGAATAAACTGTATGCAATTTAAATACTACCTTGAGAAGTAAATCAGTGTCTTAGCCTTAAAGATATCCAACTCGCAGATCTACCAACCTAAAGCATCCCTTAGTTTTTCCACAGTCATCCACTTTGATTTTGGCAAATGGATCCACGGGAGGAGCAGTAGGGAAAGGGTAACCTAGACGGTGAGAATAAACAATGGTTAGAAAATCCAGTGACAGCTTTTCCAAGGAGACGTTTTTCTTTTTAATATATTGACTATTTTCTATCGCACGTGTCTAGAAAGGCTTCAGGTCTCAGAAAAGGGTTTTGTTTAAGCCTAATCACCCTCTTCATGATGGTAGGGTGCACAGTACACATCTTTGAGACAGTCTTGCATGTTAACTAAGAATATGTGGCCTTTCCCTCATTTTACAGGCAAGGAACCTGAGTCAGGGGGTGGCATAATTCCATATAACCACTGGCTCATCACAGTCTCTGGGAGTGTGAAAATCAGTTTTCACGCAGCACATGTGCTCGAAGAGAAAAAAAAAATCAATAATGAAATATATATTTGATGGTACAGGTTTTCCTTTCCATTTATATATATACACAATAGTAGGATTTTCCCCTTTCTCTGAACTTACATTTCTCATTAAGCTGTATAGGACATTTTCATATCTCACTAAATTCTTCAAACAACATCGTTTCTAACAGCTGAGTATCTTTCTTGCAAGATGACTTAACATCATAATGCATTCAACCACACACTGAAGGGCAGCCCTACATTACGCTTCCAGTCTGTGACAGCAAGATTTTTCTCCTCGGCTGTTAACTCCAGGCACACAGGAACCATGTGTGATTCATCTTGTGTTCTCTGTCCAGCATAGTGCTTGGCATTGGATGGTGACCACATGATTATCAAATGAATAAATAAAATCACCCACAGACATTAAGAAATGTAAATAATATAAACTTGAGGCTTTGTTTCCATCAGGTTATGCCTTATTAAAAAAGCCACCAGGACGCCTGGGTGGCTCAGTTGGTTAAGCATACGACTTTGGCACAGGTCATGATCTCATGGTTTGCGAGTTCAAGCCCCCTGTCGGGCTCTGTGCTGACAGCTCAGAGCCTGGATCCTGCTTCAGATTCTGTGTCTCCCTCTCTCTCTGCCCCTTGCCTGCTCACACTGTCTCTCTCTCTCTCTCTCTCTCAAAAATAAACATTAAAAAATAAATAAATAAAAATAAAATTAAAAAGCCACCAGGCCACACTTTCTTGGCACACATCTGTACACCATGGACAGTTCATTTCTACTACCCTAGATCTTGACCACATGCTAAAATACAGCCCTAGCTTTTTGCCATCTTTAAGCATTTGAGCCAAATGCATCAGTTTTTCCACTTTTATGCTTATTTTATGCTCAGTCCTAAATCTATTTTGGTACTATAGACTGAGACCTGCCTTAGATGGTGTTTTTTTTTTTTTCTTAACATTTTATTGAGCAACCGCTTAATGCTACAAACTATGTTAAGCATCTGCATATATGTTCTTCTTATTTCTCACTACAATGCTGAGGTTATTTTTTTCTCAGAATACAACACAATGACTACTTACATTTTAAAAATTCTATAGGTAACTGGGACGCCTGGGTGCTCAGTCAGTTAAGCAACTGACTCTTGATTTTGGTTCAGGTCACGATCTCACGTTTGTGAGACAGAACTCTCTGCTGGGCATGGAAGCTGCTTAGGATTCTCTTTCTCCCTCTCTTTCTGCCCCTTCCCTGCTTGCACACACGCTCTCCTTCTCTCTCAAAAAAAGTTACTAATAAAAAATAAAAATTCTATAAGTAACTGAAAAAGACAATCTCTTATAATGCTGCTTCTCAGTTTCTCTATATTTTTTTCCTACTCCTAGCATCTAGAATAATACACTGGCATTATTTCCAGCTCAATAAATGCCAATTATTATTACTACTGGATTATTATTAAGTTTTGTAAAATACACAGAACCAATACTATTGGGTAAGATCATCTCTAGAAGAATGGGTTTCTTAGTTCTAAATAAGAGCAAGTTTTGAAACAAAACTCACGTATAAATGTACCAAACTACTTTATTACTGTTGGCAAAATGGCTTCTCAGGGCTTTTCTAGCACTAATTTCCTATTATCTTATATGCTTCTAAAACTTGAAATGAGAACTTCCTTTGTCAAATGCATTTGGGCACATTTTTCTCTTGTTTTGTAAGATGTTGTATAATAATTTGGTTTTTGTCCCTGGTCCCTGGGAAGAGAGGGCTCTAAATCTTTGGGATTCCCTAGCAGGACTGTCTTTGCTATTCATGAGCCCCTTGGGATCACATGATTGGGGTTGGTTACCAGAGGGACCAATCAGGTGATTCGAGGTTTGGGGCTATAAGACAGCCCCATTCCCAGGGAGGGGTGGGAGGTTGGAGACTGTGTTCAATTATGTAGCCAGTGACTAAATAAATCATGCCTATGTAATAAGACCCCAGTAGAAACCATGGACACTGAAACTCAGTGCCACTTCCTGGTGGGTGAACAAACTAATATTCAGGAAGTGACAAGGCCTGATTTCGTAAGAGGGCACAGAAACTGCATTTGGGAGACTCCCAGACTTCACCCTGTGTGTCTTCACCAGCTGTTCCTGAACTGTACCCTTCAGTGTAAGTATAGCACTTTCCTGAACTCTGTGAAACATTCCAGTGAGTTACAGACCCTGAGGGGGTTTGTGGGTAGCCAGCTGATCTAACGTGAGAGCAGTCTTGTTATGGAGCACCCCATTTAAACTGTGTACTCACACTGGGTTATCTGCACCAGAAATTAATTTCACTAGATTAGTTGGGGTTGGCAGAGCAATATTAAGCACAGCAATATTACAATTTTTTCCTTGAATTTAAATAATCTATTTGGCATAAAATAAGTTTGGACTGTGTGCCAGTATTTAAGCTTTGGTCTCTGAGCTACAACCCAGCCTTCTATAGCCAACTCTATGATGGGCTGAGTACTCTGCAAACCACATTTCTCCTTTGCCAGCTGGCTAGACTCTGTCAAAAGGAAACACTGGAGGGAGGCTGGGAGGTAGGAGGAAGGAAAGAAGACCATTCCTTCCAGTTGACTTGCTGTCCACTACACAAGTCCTCAGTGATTCTACTTCGTCATTGTGGTGACAGATGGTTTCACCTTTTCCAGCTTCTTTCTAGATTCCCACAACCAGCCCCATCATGCCTTCAAAGGAACCATCAGCAGCTGTGCAGAGAGCCCCATTCTCAGAGGCTGGGCTGCATTTCTGGGGGTGGTCTCTTGTCTGAGCTTCTAGGTTCTTACAGTCTCAAGCCTTTCTCTTCGCCCCCCACCCCTCCCACCACCCCAGGCCCAGGGCTGGTGGCTGCTTCCTGCAGTTACTGTCTCTGTGCTCCTTTTTGCTTCTCCAGTCCCCCAATACCTACTTAGATAATTCCCAGGCTGGGCATCCTGTTAAAAAAAAAAAAAAAAAAAAGGCTTAAATATGGTTTCTGTCTTTCTTTCTGATTGGATCCTGATAGAGACTAAATGGATTAATCCTTGAATACCAACGCAATGTATCTGTAAAGACTGTACCTTATTAGCTGTTATCATCTTGATAACTAGCTAGATAATAGTGTTGTTCAATAGGACATTTTACATGCACTGTACAATTTTACTGGAAAATCATTTTGATTGTAGAATTTTAAGCACATAAGTACACCAAATTAAACTGGTGGTATTTCTTTGTTTATGGAACATTCTTATCAGTCTATGCAAAGCCCATCTTAGTATTTTCCCTAATCCATTCCTAACACCATTTTCCTCCCCATCTTAGACACTTGGTGTAGTGTATTTCATGTATATCCTTCAGCAAAGGCTGGAGGTTTTCACAAAATGAGAACTCTGACATACATATCTTTAAAAAGCATTATTTTACTTGATAAATTGAAAGCACACATTAGTAATAATGGGTACCCGCCAACATGGAGTTGGGGGGTAAGCTTCTCATCTCTTCATAGGGGATGGGCATGCCTGCCCAGGGTAAGGTCCTGCCTTGTTGCAAAAATTCTTTCATATTCCCAACGACACCATCCTGAAAGTCTTGCATGATTACATTATAAATTAATCTCTAAAGTGCCTTCAGCTGAACCTGGATCTAAAGTTGAGGTCCCAGGGCCAATTTTTCACTATGCCAACAGCGCTGTCCTGCCATGCTGTCCACAGCTGCACTGCACTGACCATTCCATGGCCATGCACAAGGTCTGGAAGCCCCCAAGCAGAGCAGACTATCAAGGGCCCACCCAACCTACCAACCACTGTCCACATGTTTATTTTTACATTATGTGTGCTCTGGAAAAATAGATAGCTTGTGTATGCTTTTAACCCGCATAAATGACACTGTGTTAAATCTCATTCTGTTTATTATTTCCCTTTGGAAGTCCATCCCTATATGTCAATGTGAGACTTGTTATCACTCCTGACTGAGTGGCATTCCATGATGTACATATAATGGCATTTTCTGAAATAACCTCCGAAGTTTAGACACTGAAATTGCCTTCAGTGTTTGTCAAATAATGAAGGAGACAAACTTTCTTACGTGTGTTTCTTGTAGACATACGCAAGAGGTCTTTGTTTTGTTTTAATAAACCATGGAGAGCAATGATTGGGTCCCTCCTGTAATTCCACAAAGCTCAATGAGATGAGTATTCGGACGGGGAGCACCAGTTTACAATCCCATCCATAATGCACAAGGTCCCTGTTTCCTCACACCTTTGCCTGTACCTGATGCCATCCAACATTCTCAGGGTTTTAATCTGTATTTTCCTAAGTACTAATGGGGTTAAATGTTTCCTCATATCTGTATCAGCTACTTGGGTTTCCTCCTCTATGATGTGTATATGTGAAAATATCTTTGCCTTTTTTTTTTAACCTTGGTTTTCAGTCTTTCTTGTGGACTTTGTGTGTATTCCAGATTACCAGTTTGCTGTTTTCACATGCATTTCTTTCCTTCTCGTCTGTCACCAATCTTACTTTTTTTCTCTGACAGTCTTCCTTGGGCCAAAATCTTTAAATTTGATGTAGTTGAGGAAATAATTTTTCTTCTTTTGATTTGTGCTTTTAGAGTCTTGTCTAAGACATTAGCCTCCATTCTAAGGATAGGAAGAGATTTATTTCCCCACACGATTATTTATTGACTTTGTGGTACTGCCTTTCACATTTAGACCTGACCCATTTGGAATTTATTTTTTTATACGATGTGAGGTAAGAAAACAGTTTTATTTTTCTCCCTACATTGAATCAATTTTTCTCAACACCATTTATTAAATAATTCATCTTTCCCCTTGCAACTTATGATGACACCTTTAATAATTTACTGGTTCTCATATGAACATAGGTCTATTTCTGGACTTTCTGCTTTGTTTTTAGATTATCTAACTGTTCCTGAGCCAGGACCACACTATATGAATTACTAGGCTTTGTAACGTATCTCAGCAATTCACAGAACTTGATTCTTCCATGTAAAGGATAGATCATAATTTGTCAATTTCTCTCCCCAAATACTGCTGGGCTCTTGTCTGGAATTGCATTAAATGGATAGGTGAATAGGGGGAGAACTGACATCTTTATAATACCAAGTTACTCCTTACAAGATCATGGTATATTTCCCATTTATTCCTATCCTTTATATATCTTAATAGGTCAAAAGTTTTCTCTACACAGGACCAGGGCATTCTTTGTTAGGCAAAATTTGACATTATACAGATTTTTGTTGCTATTTTAAATAATATCTTGTTTTCTTTGACACTTTCTAGCTTATTGTTGCTAAAGAAGAGAGCCTTTGGTTTACATAGGCTGATCTTGTTTATGGTGACCTCATTGCATTCTCTTGATTTATAGATGTTTGTTCTTTCTGATTTTCTATGTAAATACTCATATCAAGAGAGAGAAAACATATATTCACACAAAAACCTGTACACAGATGTTCATGGCAGCATGATTCATAATAGCCAAAAATGGGAAATAACCCAGATATGTATCAATTGATGAATATTTGTGGTTTCCATTCTTTTTTTTTTTTTCTTTAATTTTTTTTTTCAACGTTTATTTATTTTTGGGATAGAGAGAGACACAGCATGAACGGGGGAGGGGCAGAGAGAGAGGGAGACACAGAATTGGAAGCAGGCTCCAGGCTCCAGGCCATCAGCCCAGAGCCTGACGCGGGGCTCGAACTCACGGACCGCGAGATCGTGACCTGGCTGAAGTCGGACGATTAACTGACTGCGCCACCCAGGCGCCCCATGTGGTTTCCATTCTTGTCTAATTCACAGACACTGTCTGTTTCTTTTCTGCAATCCCTTGAGCCTGTTTCGCCATACTCCACTGGGTGGTTAATGGCTTCTGGTTTGCTATTTATTGCTTCTAATTGACTGCTTGGCTCACAGCCTCAGGTATTAATTTAGTACTTGATTCCTTGAAGTTTTAACCAGAAGCTGTCTGTTCAAGTCCGAGAACTACTGCACCAGCCTCTTTCTCTTTCTGAACTGCCTGAATCATCATTTCTGCTTATCAGAGTCATAATGAAGTACAAACGTCAAGGGACTTTATATAATGTAAAATATGTAAAGCTCCACACACATGAGAACACCCATTTAGCAAAGCCTTCATCGTGGCACTCCACCATGCAGGAACCTTCAGTTCCCAACTATTCCATCGATCCCGAGCCCCTTTCCTCAGGTTTGCCCACAAAAATACCTCATTCAGCCTGTCCCACTCTATTTCATAGTGCAGATCAACAGGGACCCTCTGCTTCACCAACAGGCTATGGACACCCTGCACCACCTTATCCATAAAGTCAATCAAGAAACCTACCTAGTTCTCTGCTACTTTCTTTTTTTCAAAGTTTATTTATTTTTGGGACAGAGAGAGACAGAGCATGAACGGGGGAGGGGCAGAGAGAGAGGGAGACACAGAATCAGAAACAGGCTCCAGGCTCCGAGCCATCAGCCCAGAGCCTGACGCGGGGCTCGAACTCACGGACCGCGAGATCGTGACCTGGGTGAAGTCGGACGCTTAACCGACTGCGCCACCCAGGCGCCCCTCTGCTACTTTCTAGCTGTGTGAGTTAACTAACATATTTAAATTTTCTGTGGGTCGCTTTCCTTAACTCTGAAGTGAGGCTAATAGTAGCGTCTAAGTCAGAGGGTTGCTGTAAGATTTAAAGTTAACATGGAGGGTCACCTGGGTGGCTCAGTCGGTTCAGTGTCCGACTTCAGCTCAGGTCATGATCTCATGGTTCATGAGTTCAAGCCCTGCATTGGGCTCTGTGCTGACGGCTCAGAGCCTGGAGCCTGCTTCCGATTCTGTGTCTCCCTCTCTCTGTCCCTCTCCCCCTCACGCTCTGTCTCTCTCAAAAATAAATAAATGTTAAAAAAAAATTTTTTAAGTTAATATGGACAAGGGACTTAAGGCAATACCTGGCACACAGTAAGCACTTATTAAAAGTTAGCTCCAATTAGTGTTATTACCAGACTACATTAATGGAGGATATGTAGTTAGATCAGATGTAGATTATTCACCTTTGAAGAACTTCCAGATTGGTAGGGTGATGAGCAAAGGATCCACACACAATACATGGTACAGGTAGGAAGAATATAGGCAGATGAAGGAATTTGTGCCCTTTTCCCCGATCTCTGTCCTCTCTACTGTCTTACTAGCTCTTACCAAGTAGGAAAAACTGTGGTCAGAACTCAATGGTCAGAAGCTCATTGATTGGGCCACATTTTACAAGTGGTCACATCACTATGCCTTAAAGATAAGCAACCATGCATATGTTTCCTCTTTTCCTTCCAAGGCAGGGAATGGCCCCAAGGGCAAGCCAGCTACCACTATTCATATGGCTGGCAGTAAGACTTCAGGACCTGCAGATCTTTCCGGCAACGAGACGAGAGCAGGAGGCTTTACTTGGGACTTAACGCTACGCTAACAACACCCAACTAAGTTTTTTCAGAGAACCCTCAGAATAGGATTTTTGTCCATAATCATGAGGTGACCTGTTTTACATTCTGTTGTTCTGCACATATAGATTCTGCCTTAAGAACCTCAAGAGGAAAGGGTATGAGCGGTAGAATTCAAGCACCAAGGCCCTACCGAAACTCCTGATCACAGAGAATAAAAAGGGTCAATGGTAGGGTTAGATTGTATGATACGAGAGAATATCCTCACTCGGTGGCAGAGGGTGGGAGAAGGAGAAAATCATGGAAGGCTCCCTGAAAGAGGTGGCAGTGGAGGAGTTAGGAATGTAAGGATTAGTTGTATAGGCTAAGACCATGGGAATCCCTACGAATTCTGAGAACTAGCATAATAAAACCAAAACAAATTAAATTTAAAAAATGAACAGTTAGGAGGCAATTAAAGATCCCAAATCAGCCAGTTTTCAGCCTTTGGCTTTGGGGGTCTTGGACTATCTGGACACTGGAGAAATGGTTTCTAGACAAGGTTTCAGTGACTCCTCCATCCCCATTATTCTAATTGCCTTTTTCTGATTTCACACTACCAGGTCATGTTTTCATTGAAAACTCAGTTAGTTGGCTACTTTGAACCAGAGAAGAGAGTACCCTGCAGAGAGGAAACAGGAAGCCCTATCACAAGATTTGTACTGATAGGAAGAGTAGTTTAAAGGCACTATTTCTAGCTCTTCACTTGTCACTTCCTTCAAAATCAATCAGCAACCCCCCAGCCCCCCACTTCCTTCTCCACTGAATTCATCCCAGGAAAATTCACCTCTCATTTCCTGAATCCATCAACTATTTTGCACCTTCATGCTATGGGGCCCCACGACAGCATGGGACACTGCTTCCTGACATCTTCTTTCCCTTCGCTTTCTGGGTTAGGACATCCACCTGGGACATTTCCTGCTTCTGCTACTCCCTCTCAGGCAGTCCCCAAAGGCAATGTCACTGGTTATTTCGAGGGATCTTGAGAAAGCCTGTATTCAGGACCCATAGGGCTAAAACCGAGACCCAGAGATTTCTGGTGGAGGTGCTGCCCCTGAGAGGCTCAGCCCACAAATGTCCCCACTAGCACCCGCCAGATGGCTGTAGGACTGCA